AAAATTTGATTTATTATTTTTGTTTTTCTCTCTAAATGTTTGTAGTTATCATTTATGCTCATCATCATAATTAATCCTTCACTCATTACCCATAACTTGTTATTTATGTATCTCCTCACTAACTGTTGATGTCCTGAGGCTCAGTAGTGAGATTAGTAGATAATCTTGAGTTAGCAATGGGGCTTAGGATCAAAATGGACGATGTGGTTCCCCTCATCCCCTCATGTGACTAATCTCCTATTTAGGACAATAGAGCTGCAAAATAGACATGTTAGAGGATCAAAGTTGGGTTCTCAGTGATTCCTCCGACGGTCAAGTCAATATAGAGGTTGAATAAGGAATCAATAAGTTGAATAAGTTTTTAATATATAGATGATGAAATTAGTTAGCCAGAAATGACGTACCTATGGCCCCGAGGGGGGCCTGAAGGCCATTTGAAAAGGGATCCCCTTAGCCAGTAGGCGATGAGCCTCGCACACACACACACACACACACACACACACACACACACACTACTGAGGCGGCAAGGGGGGAGGGGGGGGAAGAAATCAGAATTCGTAACTCTGTGCCTTGAGTACATGCAGACAGCCCTGATGGCATATAGCCATAAATAAGTGTCGACTGCATATGGCGATGAGTCACTATGATTCTGATTTGATGCGTGCACTTGAGGCAGGTATGGAGCGTTGATGACCGGTTATGGAAACTCGTTTGCGACGGAGCAATGATGATAAATGGACAATGTTTAGCGAGGAGTCCCGTGGACAAAACCGCCTCCTTCATTCAGCTCTACGAGCGGGATGATAAGTCTGCCTTTCTTGTCGTCCTCCCAAGTTGTCGACCCGACTCTAAGTAGTTGAGGGTGGTCGACTCGAGTGATGAGGTTGGGTAAGAGCTTGTCTCGATTCGGCCCACCTCGAGAAGGGTCGAATGCCCATGCTACCCGAGCCGTTGCTGGCTAGGGTGAGCTGATATGATAACTAATTATAATATAGAATACGTGTCGTCTCCAAGAAGAGGATTAACACAGTCTAATTATTGACATAAACTAACTAAAATATTTTGTCATTCACTTTAATATGCTTAAATAGTTTAGAATAATAAGGACAATTACAAACTAAGTTATAATTTATTTTAAATAGTTATTACTTGTAATAAAATAGTAGAAAATAATTATTTCATAAATTATTATAAAATAATTATTTCATAAATTCATAAAAAATATTTAATTTATAAATTATTATACATAACTATAATTATTGAATAATACTATAACTAATAATTATTTAATTATAGTATGATCGATTAATTAATATTGTACTAAATATTATTAAGAATTATTGTGTTCTTTAATAAACAATATAAATAGTTATTAGTATAAATAGTATAATTTTTTTATAGCATTACTAAAATAAAAAATTAGGCTTTTATTTAATAATTGTGATATTCAATAGGTTATTTGATAATATTATTATAAACTATTTCATTAAATTACTTAGTAAATTAATATATTGCCCTATATTATTACAATTATACTTTACATAATTATGATAAATAAGAATATTTATAGAATAGGTTGATAAGTTATTTTGACATTATAGCTAATAATTTTACAATTATAACTATTAAAGCATACTATAATATTAAATAATCATTTGATATGCAATAGTTATTTACATGAAACTATGATTGATGATTATCTATACCATTCTGTATAAGAATTTTATTCCATAAGTTTATTTATTAACACAAATATTATAAGAAAAAAAAACGAGGGTGAGATGGCGACCCACTTTGATACTCAAGTAACGAAGGGGGTCTTTGTTTGCATGTAAGTAAAAGATGAAAGTGAGAAAGTTACTTTCATTTAACAATTAAGGTGTTTGTTTTCATGTAAGTGGTTATGAAAGTAAGATGCAAGAAAGTTGCCACATATGATTTAATGCAATTTTGACTTTCCCTAAAAAAATGGTGAAGTCACATGAAAGTGACAAAGAAGTAACTAATTTAATTAAATGATTTTAATTATACTTTCTAATTAATCTTATTTTGTCACGTCATCTTCACATTGTATTTTTGATAATAATTTAATTTTTTAAACAAATACTGTATTTCACTTGCGTGGTGATGTAGATGTAAAAGTCATTTATAAAAAAAAAATTAGATGTTTTAAACTCACTTTCGTCCCCTTAAACCGACTAGAATTTCGCCAATTATGTTCCCTGGGGAGGGCATCGAGTCCATCAGAGGTCAAGACAAAGTTTATGTTTTGACCACCAAACTCAATTGAAGTTGCTGTAATACTGACGAGCCCGGTGCTTTCGCAAACACAAAAAGCTTAAACCCTGAATCCCAGAATCCCCTCTTCGCCCCTTCTCTCTAATCCTTCCTCTAAAACCCTAGCGATGGCGTCCGATGCTTCCTCAGCGTTACAAGGTGGCTGATTCTCTGTAAACTCCCATAAAAGAGCTCTCTTTTCCCCCTTTCCATCTATTTGGGCATCGCTTATCAAAGATTCTCAACTAAAGATCGTTTCTTTTTTAGCTTCTTCTCGTGACGAATTATCTATTTTCTATTATTTTTCTGGGTACAGTGAGGCAGAGAGTTCAGAACTTCCTCAATGCCGCTCAGACCGGGAACCTTGATCTCTTTAAGAGTAAGTTAGGTTTTTGAATTTTGATTTGATTTTTTTTGTTGTGTTTTTCTTAGATTTGATGCATTAATATTGTTGAATTTGTTATAGAGCTGGCGATGCAGCTTGACGATGGGAAAGGGCTGGCGAAGACGGTGGGCGGAGGATGTTTAAGGATTGCGGAAACAAGAGGACGCTCTTCAACCCTTCGCTGCTCAAAGCGAAGCGACGGTGTTCACAGTTGATATTGACGAAGGATGATGCGTTGCCAAGTTCTTGATTGAGGAGTTGAAGCTTGATGTCAATGTGAAGGATGAGGATGGTATAGTTCTCACTACAATCTACGTCTCTCTTGGTTTTGTTGGTTTGGTTGTTATCTTTGAAATTCTTGTTAATTATCTCTTGTAAGTTGCAGAAGATTTTCTGATGAGAATATAGAATTTGTTTGTTCTGTCCTTTATATTGTGAATAGACCAGGTCGGTTGTCTTGAATGGTTGTCATTTACACAATTCAGGTGCTTGCTTTTATAATTGATTCATGTTTTTGCTTAACTGTGATAGTATTTTGTAATGGAAATTGATGTGGAGTATAACTAGTGCAGTTGTAATGGAAATTGATGTGAATTATAATTTTGAAGGGTGTTTTGGATGTCTAGTTCAGAAACTAGTGAATTTCCAATTTACAATCCACATAATCAAAGTAACATGAAAATGTTATAGGAATTTTAATTCTCATCTGTGTTCTCATACAAATTATTTATTTCAATATATATTATATGTGTATATAAATATTTATATAGCCGTGTCCCTGTACCCTTCCTTTCACAAATTTTCCGTGTCTTATACGTGTACCCATGCAGCATAGGTTTGAATTGAAGAAGTGCTTATGAACTACCATGCGACCACATAACACCAGTGAATTGAAAGAAAATCTTTACCTAGGCCCTTCTTTATGTGTTAAAATGTTGGGTATTTGATAAACATACACAAAATATGGATGTAGCCAAAATTAGAATAGTTAGGTGTATGAATGCATTGTGCTAAAACAGGATAATATATTAGAGCATGTGTAGGATGAGTTGAAAGAAATTTTTGAGTTGGCTTAGACATGTGTAGTGGAGGCTGAGGGTGTATTTATTAGGATTGTAGGATCATTGTCAGGAAGATGCTAGGACTGGCAAGCCAAAAAGATCATGGACTATATAAAAGGATTTTTACTGCTAATTTAACAGATAAGGAGGTCCTCAATAGAGCTGACTGGAGAAAAGGATTGATGTAGCCAACCACAAATATGGTATCTGCTTATAAAGGATATGTCGTTGTTTCTGCTGCTTTTTAAACTGATCTCCTGGAATTAGGATGACTTTAAGCTGGAATCTATTCTTATTCTGATTTAGCTGTATTATTTAACATTCAGCTTGAAATATTTTCACCCTTTAATCTTAATGAAGTAGGGACAGATGTTGACCGTAAATTTAATTTCTACCCTAGCATTCTCCTTTTCATTCAGTGTGAATCTTATATTTTCAATATTGTTGAACAGGTGAGACTCCTCTTCTCCATGCTTCACGACAAGGACACATACACATGGCAAAATATCTTTTGGAGAAAGGGGCAGATCCTTCTGCTTCCAGTGAATTAGGAGTCACACCTCTGCATCATGCGGCTGGAATAGGTCTGCCTCATTCACATGGGCAAAATTTTCATGTTAAATATCCTCTTATATAATGCATGGGGAATGAATTCATCCGTATGAATATGGTTGTATACTGCCTTTGTCCCTTTCTGCAATTGGAGATTATATCTCCTTTTGATTTTATTTTGAACTGCCACAATTCAAAATTGAATCTATGTAGATGGAAGCTTAGAAATTAGTATTTGTATACTTTATTTAATTATGACAAATGCAGATTACAGTTTAAAATACTAGCCCTTAGACTGCTGAATAAAACATTGTGTTCGTTCAGCTTTATGTTGTTCTTCATTTATTTGTAAATCCTAGATTACTTGTCCTTCTCTGTCTGGTTTTATCTCTGAGCTCTTGAGTGTTAAACTTTTTTTTGTTTTCTCTTATATTTTTCTAAATTTTATAGGAAACATTGAGTTGCTGAATCTTCTACTTTCAAGAGAAGTTGATGTGGAATCTCATAGTGATTCTGGCACTCCATTGGTCTGGGCTGCTGGTCATGGGCAGCAAGAAGCAGTGAAGGTTTTGTTAGAACACCATGCTAATGTAAGCAGGAATTGTAAACATGACATCTTTCAGCCAGAAACATGCTGAGATATATCTCAATACATTTTCCATCCAAATTGCTTCTTGATAAACTAGCGGAAATTCATGTAAACTAGAAATTGCTAAAAAATTCCATCCAAATTGCTAAAAATTTAGTCAGCAAAAGAGTGAACTGTCTGTTACTGGATCTATATCCCAAGTTTGTATTTGATTAAGCAGGCTGGTAAAGTGCTATACACATACATATAGGGAAATTTTCAGTGAGAACTCCATAGGTTGGAAATTGTCTGGACACAAAGAGGGGTCATTGATGGCCAGCATTGATTGCTCATTAAAACTTTTGTAAGAATGAGAGATCAAGAGGTTTTAGTTCCTTCACTTATGGAAGTTGGTTGAAAGATCACATTTTTTTAAACCATAGAAAAAAAAATCTATTCAGTCCACGGGTGAAAGTTTTGTTTATGTTTCATTCTTCGGCCATATGTGTTTGACGTGTGAAGTTTTGAATCTTTTTGATGTGTGTGAATAAGGATAGCCTTTCATTTTTAGGCCATGTCTGTGTTTGTGCGTATTCTTGCATGCATGATCACATCTTTCTGTCTCCCTATGCGAAGATTATCACTTGTACACTTCTTTAACATGTATCCTATACATCATTTCTTGAAACTCATTAGACATGAGTCAAGTTCGTTTTAGTCATACCCAAGTTCAAAACTACGATTTTAAAGAATCTTTGGGTGTCTAGTTCAAAAACAAGTTGTTTCCAACTTATAATAATCAACATAATAAAAGAAACTTAAAAATGTGATAGGCATTTTAATTCTAGTAACATATGAGCTGGAAAACAATAATGATCTCATGTAAATTATTAATTTTAATAAATATATATAGCCGTGTCTCCATACCTTACAGTTTATAAGTTTTCTGTGTCCCGTACCCGTACCCATTTCCATGCAACTTAGCTAGCATGTACATTGAGATATATGTGATGCGTAATGCAGGCATATTGATGTGTTTGTCTTCATAAACTTTGAAGAATGATTCATGAACTGTACCCCAATTATGTAGCTAATGATAAACTCTGTAGATGATGAGAGTGGGTGTCAAATTTTTATGCGCATTAAAACACTTAGTTTTCTTTCTTGCGTGAGACATAATATATTGTCACTTAGTTTTCTTTCTTGCGTGAGACGTAACATATTGTTTAAAAGCATGTACCCATTTAGGTAGCTAATGATAAATTCTGTGGACAATGAGAGTGGGGGTCAAATTTTTGTGCGCATTAAAACACTTAGTTTTCTTTCTTTCATGAGATATAACATATTGTTTAAAAACATGTAATACCTTCATAGTTTCATGGCTCATGCATGTTCTGAGGGAAGTGTTGTTGAGTTAGAAATGGCGGGTCTTCTTTTTCATGTAATCTTCTAGATAGAAGAGAAGCATGTCTAGTCCATTTGAATAAAGCAGAGAGGGCCAGCGCTTGGTCTTCTAATTAACTGCATAAAGGTCTTCTTTTAGTAATGAGAAGGCTAACCCAATTATAAAGTCAACTTTTCCTTATCATGACATCCATTTTCTTATATCGTATAGGGCAACATCTATGATATCCCGATACGACAATTTTGGCGCCGTATCTGTGTCGGGTGTGGTTAGGTACGTTTCCGCACCCAAACGGAGGGGACACAGGAGTTTTGGAGTAGAGGATAATGAGTTTAGATGCAAGGAAGAAGAAGACTCTCTCTCTTATTTCCTTAGTTTTAAATTTGTTAGTGGAACATGACATCACCATTCACATGGGTGCTTGACTATTTGCTTTTGTCTTTTCTTTAAAATTAATGGCAATGCTAAGAATGGGAGACATGTGTTCTCATATTTAAATAGGTAAGTGTATATGTATGTATGTATATACGTACATATTTATTTATTTATTCTTTTTGATGCTTATGTGGAATATAAAGTCAAAGTTTCAAATGAGTTTACTTTATAATTTTAAGGAATGAGCTTATTTTATTGAGAATTTGAAATTAAACATAGTAAATTTGCTATAGTTAATAAATGTTACTATATATATAATATATATATATATATATAATAATAATAATATATATATATATAATATATTATATATGAGATTAAATGGGTATGCGCTTAGTCAAGGACGGGGGAATTTCCTCATGACGGCCTCTAATATTCACACGATGATTTGAGATGACAATCTATGATGATCGCGCTCCGGTGAACTTGATCTATGATATCTAAAAAAAAACCACCCAACACAGCCAAGTTTGGGAATCTGTCGTCTGTTTGAACCCTCCTCAGAGCCATGTGAAAAGTTCTATTTCATCATTTCAAACCGTTAAAAATTGATACGAGTGGTGAATTCGGTCAAACGATCAGACGATTGCACGCACCAAACTTTGGTGTGTAGGGTTTTAGAATATGTTAGATCAGTGCAACGAGCCGATCATCCAGCATGTCGCTCATCATGTGATTTTAGATGGCGCAGGAGGAAATCCCTCCTATAGACAAGGAATCTATTTAATCTGCTCTCTCTCTCATGCATCTCTATATATATTATATATATATATATATATATATATATACATATTTTCAATAAATAAATATATATATATGTGTATATAAAAGCCGTGTCCCCGTACCCTACATTTTACAAATTTGCCGTGTCCCGTACCCGTACCAGTGTCCATACCCGTACCTGTGCAACCTAGGACAACATTGTATTTCTCCTGGGATTGACTTATTAGAAGTTACCCTAAGCACTTTGTATATATCTTTTACGATATCATAGATGTTTTTGACCCGACAATGCTTTGTGTGTATCTGTTGCGAAAACAGCAGCAAAGTCTTTGTCTCAAATGTCTGCTCCACAATATATATTCTTTCACTAATTAATATTTGAATTTAAAATAGTTTACCCATTCTATACTAATGCTTTGAAGCTCAATTGTTGATTTATTAGAACTGACATTTTCTGCTGTATAACTTTCTGTAGCCAAATACTGAAACAGATGACGGAATTACTCCATTGTTGTCAGCCGTTGCGGCTGGATCATTGTCATGCTTGGAGCTACTTATTCAGGTACGTAAAAAAGTAATCAAAAGGAGTACTTATCTACTAGTGAGTGAGTTATATAGTTTCAGTGAACAAGTTTTTGCATTTATCATTATATGTATTTTCTCAGCAAGGCTGGTATTGGACACAATTCTAGTTGTTCTCACTATAAATATTCCACATTAAAGTTATCTCTTCGTCCAAGATTACTTTGTTAGCACTTAATGATGGTCCTCAATACCCATTTTTTTTATTTACTGATGGACCAAGTAATTACATGGCTATACAATATTAGTTTCAGTTGTGGTTTTTATTTTGGCAGTCTTTGCTGTTTCAACTGATTCTTATTAGGTTTTGTGATATTACTTTTGGCATCTCAAAGAAGTAGAAAGTACTTATAGTGAGAAGAACCAAAGTAAGTGGGGAATGCAAAATTTTTCTTTTTTCTTTTCGCTTTATAAGTATCGGAAAATTACATGTTGCAAATAGTGGCCTAGGCAGGTGCCAAAGCTGGTCTGGCCTCCAGGCAGTATGGTTAGGAGTTTGTAGCAGCCTGCTTTTTCTTAGAGCACTTAAACATAGAACTTTTCCTTTTATAATCCCTCACGTCCCTAAGATTCATATTGCTCATCCATTTAAATACTGTTATGAACTTCGTACTGAAATCTAACCAAATGATGAACAATAGATTAAATGGACATATAGTACTCTTTAAGGGGGTTAGTTGTGATCAAGGACTGTCATTTTCTCTAAGTTTACCCTGCTGTGTCAGGATAAAAGATGGTCCTTTGTATAGTAGGTTCGTATCCATTAGTTAGGTCAATCCTCTTTTTTGGTGCTTCTGCCTGCTTTATTTATTTGCTATTTCGTATCCATTGGTTAGGTCAATCCTCTTTTTTGGTGCTTCTGCCTGCTTTATTTATTTGCTATTTTTTTGGGGTGGGTTTTTTTTGTGGTAGGTTTTTTTGGGGGATGGTGGTTAGGTCAATCCTCTTTTTTGGTGCTTCTGCCTGCTTTATTTATTTGCTATTTCGTATCCATTGGTTAGGTCAATCCTCTTTTTTGGTGCTTCTGCCTGCTTTATTTATTTGCTATTTTTTTGGGGTGGGTTTTTTTTGTGGTAGGTTTTTTTGGGGGGGGGTGTGGGTTTTTTTTGGGGTGGGGTGGGGTGGGGTGGGGGAGGGTTTTCATGGGCTCCTGAAAACCATGCTGGTCTAGAAACCTTTGATGTAAAGGACTCAAATAGTCAAATCCGAGATTAACCACTTTCTTTAATACCACATCTACTTCAAAATATAGATCCAATCATTCCAGATGCACAGAAATGAGATATTCAAATTTCAACCTCATGTAAACAAATTGGCTCAGAAAACTGAGAATTATTTATAGTAAGACAGGTAAAAGAAAACAAAAGGATCTTACTACAAACATAACTGTACAGGGGCTACTTGTATGACAGTTCATTCCAGACACATGAAAATGAGATATCTAACCTTCAGTTAAGCAATTTGGCACAGAAAACTGAGATCATTTATTATAATAGAGGAAAAAGGAATTAAGGGGATCATACTACAGGATTAACAGTGCAGGTGATATTTCTAATGTATGACATAATATCTGGACATGAAAAGCTAACATAGCTTAATACGGACCCTCTTTATTGGTAAGATTTGGTTAGCCTATAGGCCAATTGAATTGTCATGTCACAGATGTGTTAACTTCAAGTGAGAAGCGTACTGTGTTTATTTTATATAGGATCAGGGATACAAGACTAGAAACAGTATCTGATTCTTAACACCCTAAAATTACCCTAAAAGAAAGTTCAACAGTTTGAGATACTTTTTTGTATAGCTTCATAGTCCTTATGAATGACCCTTGTAGGTAACTTGTTCCCAATGTATAGATAGTTAATATAGTGTTGGATTCCCATTTGTGCTGGTTTAGAGTTTCTAGCAAATTGTAAGACAGCCTTTTTGTATAAATTGGGATGGTAAAATGAATATAAAATAGATACGAAAATGAACTTCTGCACTTGGAACAAATTAGAGGCAGCTTCAAATGAGGATAAGATGTGAGAGAATCGTTTGAGATGGTTTTGACATTTGTTACAGAGGCCATTGAGTGCTCTGGTCAAGAGAAATGATAGGAAGATAGTTGAGGCAATAGACATCTCTCATCAAGATGGATCGAGATACTGAAAAGGATGGTATAGTTGTCAATTTAAGAATGACCCTTAACAGATATGATCAAGGAAAGATGGTCAATGAAGCAAACATCAAATATTTGTTAAATAGGCATTAATGTTTTTATACAATTTGATGGAATAGTGTTATATGTGTGGTTCTGTGAATGCTTGAGGGCTCTATTAATAATTCACACGCTCCCTCCACAATTTTTATTTTACATTCTAATCCAGACGTTAGGTACTATTTGTTTACCATATTTTGGTGAATGCCGATTTGCAACTACTACTAAACCATTTCTGATATCGACACCTCACTTTTCCTAACAAAAGAGCAAAGGAATCCATGCAAGTCCTTAACAATCCGTCTGCTTTTCATAATAAGTATGTTGCCCTTTTTAGTTCTTCTTACCTATGTCTTTCTCTTATCTGAGTTATTATGACAATCTATAGTTGTCAATCATTATTATGTATTCATTGTTCTTATGATTGAAATTGTTCAAGCTATTATATAAGTGGATCCCTTCTTATTAACAGCTCATATTTCGTAAAATTTATCGTGTTTGCTGATCATTATGCTTTTAGAATCAAAATGAAAGGTTTAATGTTCGATGAGCATATGATGTAGAGTCAGGATAATGAGCAGTTTTAGATCAAGAATGTTCTCTTAGGAAATTAATTACAATATTTTCCTGATGGCCAGTTATCTACTATAATGGTCTTGAAATCAGGTTGCTTTAAAAGTATAATTCCTGAAAAGTTAGGGCTTTGTATATCTGTAATCCAGGTGTATGGGGAAAGAAATATCTCAGCTCCATGTTTTTAAATGTTATAGTTGGATATTGTCTATTTGTGGTTAAGCTGGCTCATGGGGTTTCTCAAGAAACTATCCTATTTGATTCTTCAAGTTTGTTTCGCTGCATTTGAATGAATCATGTATGTGTTATCAGTTCCCATCTAGCATCTTTTTTGGCGATGCAATCTATCTTGAGTTTATACTACTTCTGCACACTAATTATCTTGAATCCTGCCCCCCTTTTCTGATTTTGATTTCCTTTTAAATTATGTAGGCAGGTGCTAATCCTAACATCAAAGCAGGTGGAATAACTCCATTGCACATTGCGGCAGATCTAGGGAGCAAAGAAATTCTCAATTGTTTACTAAAAGCTGGGGCAGATCCTAATATTCCTGACGAGGTTGGTACACACAAGCTTCTCTTACATTCTCGGCATGGTTGTTTGAATTATAGGTAGTTGTAGATGCATGGACTGTCTGTGCATTATCTGATAAACTTGTTAGATTTTAGACCTCTATTCATTATTCCTCTTGTTTAAATCCTGCACAAGTTAGATGATGCCTTTTTAGTCATCCAACAAATGAAATTATACTTTATAAGATTAATATCAAATACTTGAAAGAATATTAGAATATTTTTATCCCTTAAAATAACGTCAGAATTTTATTAGTGGGGAGCGAAGGATGTGGTGAAACCTTATTCTAGTAGGGGCCACCAACATATAAGGTATGTTAGGATGTGCGCAGTAATTTGCAACAAAAATTGCAAAATTCTTATAAATTGCAGCACTACATTTACAAAGACCCTTAGAAAAAAATAGGTATATATCTGGCATGCTAGAAAGATGCATTGCAGCAGAACAGTTCTAGAGAATTTGAGAGCAAATTTGGTAACATTAACCTGGGAAGAAGTATGGTAAAAACTCCATGCACTTTGCTTGCTTGAGTATCAAAAATGCTAGGAGCCTAGGATGAGTGATATCTTGGGAAGTCCTTATTTCAAAAGTCAACAATGCCCACATAATAATGTTTCCTTGAGATACTCCGAGCGAGCATGAAACATCATGGGCTTGTGCAGATAACCAGTCTGTTCACATATGCTCATTCTAAAGAACCAATAATATATTGGTTTATATACTTGTATTTAGTTGGAAATGGAAATGCAGTCCATCTCTAACTATGGTGGTTAATCTGTAATGCATTTTTTAGGTAGATCATTTTACAACAATGTCAAACAATTATATAAAATAAAATTGGTTTGTAACTTAATTTTCACTGTTAAATGAGAGAAACACGTAGAAAGTGTTATTAAGAACTTTTTGCTGATGTGGCATTCAAGAAGCAGCTGGAAGTGCACTCATTTCTAGCTCGACAATGACTACAACTTTTGGACCCCAGTTGTTGTTCCAATGCATGTGTAAAACCAAAAGCATGGAACTAAACACCAAACTTCAGATCAATTGTAGTGTGACGCTGGGGGCTGCATCAATTTTTGAGTAATGATCAAGGTTTTAAATATCGGTTATCGGGGATTTATCGGACGGCCAAAATTCTTATCGGATAGCGAAAATCGGGGATATATCGGGGATAAGTAGTATTTATCGAAGCAATATACTGGATGGTGTATATATATAATATAACAACTAAAAAATATAATCTAACCATGCTTAATGAAATATAAACATACCAAAACAGAAAAGCAAAGTATGATAAAAGAATAGTTATAGAACTGATATTACTCAAAAGAGAAAGTGTGTGCATGAAGGAATTACAAGAGAAGGAAAGCTCACAGCATGTGTATATAGCCATGTTTCTGGACAAAAAAAACATGGTTGACAGAGGGTAGGCAAGCGACGAAGTTCAAGGTTGAAGTTCATGAAGGCGAGCGACGAAGAGACACAGAGAACATGAGATGGAGATAACGGAGGAAGCGCCCTACGAGAAAAGGAGCAGCCACCGGAGACGAAGTTAGGGTTTGAAGGTCAGATTCATAAAGTTTCGGGTTTTAAGTTTCATATTATTAACAAAACGGGTGGGGTCGGGTTTTAAAAACCTAACAACTCAACTCAAAATGACTGGCCGATAATCCCGATAATCCCGATAATTTAGCCTTACTTATCGGCCGATAAGTGCCGATAACGCCGATAACTCGCCGATAATCACTCCAAAACGATAACCGATTACAAAACCAACTTATCCTAGCGGAGAGCTCAAAAATCCGATAACTCGGCCGATAATATCGATTATCGGCCGATATTTAAAACAATGGTAATGATAGATAGAAGATTCTGCCACTTCTCCTATAGCAGGTTAGAATCAAGGCATCAATTTTTGAGGACTGTATTGTATGTCAACCTAAGCACTGGATGCACAAACAACTAGTGATTTTTTTGGCACACTTGATATCTTGGCCAATAAGGTTATAATATTGTAAAAATCAGCTGAAGCATCAAGAAACCCTTACTACTGCACTGCATATACGTCTCCTGATACTTCATCAAAACAATGATTGTACAACCACCACTGGTAGACATATTACAGTGCTAAAACCACCAGTATAATGTGCCCCATTGCATGTCGAATTCCGAAGTTGTCAGGTGCCAGGTGCCAAGCAAGGAAACCTTAAATGTGTCATAGTCCCAAGGTGCAAGGTGTGGTGTGTCTCACTGTAAGTGAAGCGATCTTTTGACTTCAATTCTAAGCATAATGATGATTTAAGACTGAGATAAATTCAATTAGTTGCGCTATATCAATCATTATGTGATGATTACTTAATACTGAATACTGTTCTTTTTTCATGTGAGATACTTTTGGAATAGTTGTTAAGAAACTATGACTCTGTAACAGTGACTACTTAACCAATGTTTCAGAGACAATGTTTATAGGTAGAAAAAAGGGGAAAAAAAGAAGCAGTAAGACAGAGAAAAGAGAAGAAAGAAGAGAAGAGAGGAGGAGGATGAGAAAAGGAGGACAAAGGCAAGTAACCTCTCATGAGAGGCAAAAGTAAGATAATAAGAAGAATTATAGGAAGACGAGGAGGAAAAAAGGATGATGAACTAGCTACTAAAAAGTAAAAATAAAAAGAAGAGAAGCAAAAAATCAAAGAAAAATTTAGAACTCTGTATCATAAGTAATTGTTGCTAGCAAAAACAATGGCTTGTGACATCACGACACAGTTGCAGATACAGTAGTACTTTTACTATTAAGAATGACGGATAATAGTTCACATCCTCAGATATCTAGTATTTGAGATGATAATGGTCAGAATGAAAACATGTCCATAACATTGTACGGTGCATTTTCTAGTTTATTTTGTTTTCCTGGGCATCTGGGTTACTTGGGTTTTCACACATTGTTTACTCGCCAAAATGAAAATGAATTCTTGAGCAAATAAAATCCTTTATGCAGGATGGCCAAAAGCCAATACAGGTTGCTGCTGTTAGAGGCAACAGTGAAGCTGTTAAAGTTCTTTTTCCACTGACATCCCCTGTTAAAGATATATCAAACTGGAGCATTGATGGAGTCATTGAACACATGCAGTCCGATTCAAGTAAAGAATTGGTAGTTTTCCTTCTTTTCCCCGTAAGATGAACAAACAATTTGTAGGCTTGGGCATCTGACGTTTATCCTTTATGTTGTAGGAAAGTGCAAAAGAACCAGAAATGCCAACGAAAACCAGTTCTCAGAGGCCGCAAATTGTTGAGGTACCATTGCTGATTTTGCACCGCGTATTGCACCATGGTGCAAGTAGCAAGATGAAAACGTGCATTTTGTCACCAGCAAGTTGCAAATTGCTGAACTTTCTTGTCACTTGATATTGGCATCTGCACTAGACTGAATAGATCTTCATGATAATTTTTGAAAATTATGAAATTTGGAACTCACGGTTTTGACCAGATACCAACTGCTTGTATCCCCACGCAAGAAATCCTTTTCTGTTTAAGCGCATTCCTCTTCCCGACAATATTTGGCCTGTAATGTAGTGTATGGTACTAGAGTTTTTGAAGGAGAGACTAGCAGATTGGTGATTTACCAGGTTTGTTTGTTTTGTATACTCAAGTGAAGTTCAAAATTTCAATCAATCCTGCAGGTAACACCTGAGGCGAAGGAGAAATCCTTGGAAGCTAAATCCAGAGGTGATGATGCATTCAAAAGAAAAGATTATCTCATGGCAATAGATGCATATACACAGGTAACTCCTTCAAGAATTATCCAAAATATAAGAAGATATTTCTAGATTGAGCTGAATCATCTTAAAAAGAAGCTTATAATTTAGCTTAGTGCTTAACTGAGAAATACCAATCATATGAAGTTCATGGTAATTTGAGGGTTGGCTATGGTTGTAGGGGAGAAAAACAAAAAGGTTGGTTACCTTTCCATGGACTAGTCTTCTAGTTGATGTGCCAGGGATCCCCCATAATTGTCAAAAGATGCCTGTTGTAGAAATTTTTGCATGAGCTCATATTCCGTGATCAAAGTTGAAAGCTTGTAGTACACACATAAAGTCAGTGTGGAATCAGGAGACTAAACCAGGCATCTGCAGCGAAAAACCCTCTCTTCCCTTGAAAACTCTTGGGATAGAAAAAGAGTTTCCTTTGGACCAACATCTTTCCAGTGCGTTCTATAGAATAGGTCAGACGCTAGGTTTGAATCCCATTCAGTACCTCCCTGTGGTGTCTATCAAATCAGGATTAAGGCTTCTGGTACGAAACTATGGGGTTAAAACTGTGGGTTTAGGCAGGGTGATTGCTTCTCTTTTCTTTTCTCTTCTTCAATTGTAAATTTAACTCCTTTATACTCTGATCACAAACACGTCTACTTTTGCTCAATGTTTCTTACCTTGATTATTTTTATAGTAACCAAGAGCAATTCCCGTTGCATTGGATGAAGTGAAATTGTACCGTTTTATGAGTGATATAAGATAACCATTCCTTGATTTTATGCAATTGTCATTCAATTAAGTGGATTAGTATTTATAAGAGTTGTAAGATAAATTTCTTCCAGTTTCGCCTATTGTAGGTTCAGTTTTCTCCCGCTTCTGATGTAGCATCTTTCAGAATTAGACTAGATAAAATATTTGATAGTTTTGTGCCCTTGACCGAACAGACCAAAATTCTTCAAATGGGGAGTTTCATTACTTGGATATCAGGGCCTGTGTTCCAATGTCTTGATCTATAGTTCAGTTACACATAATGAATGCTAAACATTATGGTCTGGAAAGTTGGGTTTTTATTCATTTGGTTGTCATCAAGTTTTAGTCCAAATGTATTTGATATGCAATCCAGCACTATGACAATGTTCTTGATGCAGACGAAATTCAGATTTTGTTATTTTGGCCATGGGTTCTTCCTAATGGTTTCTGGATGGATTCAGCTGGCCTATCGTAGATAAACTGTAGGCACATCTCTAACTGCCTTTGGTTTTACCTACGCTGTGTCAAGGTGTCCTAAATCTAGGGGAAAAGTGAGCCCCATCAACTGAAAAAGCAAAGTCATCGAGCAAAATTTAACTTAGAAGCTAGTTAGCTAAGCTCATTTGTCAGCGTTTGAATATATTGTCAAGGAAATATTTGTCATCTAAAATTCGCATGGCTAATGTTTCCACTAAATAATTTAGAACTTTAAACGTATCTTTAACAAATTAACTTGTTATGCCCAGAAGTTGTTCTGGACTCTCTGGCTTTAGATATCTTATTCTGAGCTGAATCATCAAGAATTATGTTCGTGAGACATGATTAATTACTTCTCCGTATATCTGTTTTGACAACTTTCGCTTTGTTGGCCAGACCAATGGAGGTAATTGAGATTTAACTTGTTAATCCTGTGTTAAAATTTTAGGCTATTGATCTTAACCCCAATGAAGCAACCTTGCTATCCAATAGAAGCCTTTGTTGGATCCAATTGGGACAAGCAGAGCATGCCTTAGCTGATGCCAGGGCTTGCAGGCAGCTAAGGCCTGACTGGTCTAAAGCATGCTACAGGGAAGGTTCAGCGCTCCTTTTATTGCAGGTTCTCTTTTGTAATCTGTAACTTCTAATTTACTATATTGAAATTTTTCGACAAATTTTAATCTTTCATGGCTTTGACAGAGGTTTGATGAAGCAGCAAATGCCTTTTATGAAGGTGTACAGCTTGATCCTGAAAATAAGGAGCTTGTAAAGGCCTTCAGGTAAAATGATTCTCTTCTTTGATATGTGTGGAGAAAAATATTGTGGTTTGATATCATAAGCATTTGAAATATGAAATCATAGAAAAATATAATGTTCTCTTAAAATATTATATCTATAGTGAAAATACCCAGTGTTTAACATGGAGTAAAATGTAGATATATATTTCAAATATCAATGGAATTACTGCATATATTTGTCTGTGTTGGTTAGAGCAAATTGACGTCAATCCAGTTCATGGTCTCTAACTTAGGCGAGGATGGGGTTTTCTGTTTTATTCTTGTTTGAATATAATTTTATACTAGAAATCCTTCTAACTTCTTTCTATATTTTGTTAATTTTCCAACAGGGAAGCTGTGGAAGCTGGAAGGAAATTTCATGGCACGGATAAAAGCCAAAACGGTGATACTAAAAATGGGTAATTAGTTTTAATTTTTAAGCTCGACACTTCTGCAGTGTCCCAAAGGAGTGATATTTGTGAGGCTGGTGCTTATGTAGAATATGTACCATTATTCACTATTATTATTTTGACATTTTATGGCCTCAAAACTGAAGGATGATCATGTGACTTTTACAAAGTGATCTGTGTAGTGAAATTTTGGCTATGGACTAGCTCTTTAAATAAGATAAGTTATTATAGGTATGTTACTGATCGTGTGATGTCGTATGCAGTGACTGTTCAACATGAACAGTGCCACAGATTCTCATCCGACCTGCTTTCGATGGCCTTGTTGATAATCAAGATTGTCATTATTGGTTGGTAGCAGTAGTCATTTTCAATGTATATTTTCTCATCACTACCTGTGCCACCTTGATTTCCCTTTGTTCACTGCGTACTCAACTTGGGGACACCATCGCCACCACCACTTGTATTTTAGAAATCTTGATGAGGGATAAAGTTAGTTTGGTTGATTCGTGAAGAGAATCATTTATTTGGTTGATCCATGAAGAGGACTGCTTATTTGGTGGATTCATGAGAAGAATCATTTATTTGTTAGATTCTTGATAAGATCATTTGTTTAGCAGATCATTGAAAAATGATTATTTGTTAGATCCTGAGGAGGATTATTTATTTGGTGAATTCTTGAGGAAGATTTTTTTTTTGGTGAATTCCTAGAGAGGATTGTTTGTTTGGTGGGTCCCTAGTGAAAGATCATTTGTTTGATAGTTTCGTGGGGAGGATTATTTCGTTTAGTTGATATGTGAAGAAGATCGATGTATCATATATGGTGATTTTGGTTAAGGTTGTTCGTGGTGGAAGACATTTAAGTAGAAGACTAAATGATGAAGACAACTACGATGAGAAATGTCATACAGAAGATTTCAGCCTTTTAAGTCGCGTCACAAATTGGAGTACATCTTTTTTATAACTAGTTGCACGTGTATATCATATATGCTCCATCTTGAGAGTGTTAATGAATATATTATGCAGATCTATGATGTTATAGTTATATTAAGAATAATATATTAAGAATATGTAGTTGAGAGACGTTAGAGATTGTGATTGAGAGAATAAAAGAATATGCTAAGGATATTTTTAGCATATTCCTAATAATATATAACATGTATTTTGCTTTTAGTATAAATATATAAGAGATCAATAGAGTTCTAAATAAGAGTCTTTGGTTCCTATAAAACTAATTTCAACAGATTAGTTCCTAACAGATTTGATTCATTTGTTGACTTGTTGACCTAATTTTTTTTATCTCTTGGGCTTTTGTGGGCTTCCTCTTGGCTTGATCTTAGGCTTCGATAAATGGTGTAAAATGAGAGAATATGATTTTTTTTAATTTTTTATTTTCTGCAAATTAAGATAAAAACTCATTAGTAGTAGATATATATTTAAATAAAATAGATAATAAAGGTTTCGAGTGCAATAATGATCATGAGGATTGGCTAGCTTGGCTATCTCAAGCGGGTTATGATGGTCGATAAAAGGGAGGATGGTCGGGTGATGAGGGTGATCATATCCTTAAAAAGAGACCTCAATAGCTTGAGGTAGTGGTTTATCTTGGGTAGAGAGATCTCAGGTGATACGAGTCACCGTGCGAGCACATTTGATCGTGGAATTATCAAAAGTGAGTTTTGAGAAGAAAACAACAAACACAAGAATAGTTTAATTTGACGAAGGAAAATACATTCTCTAGATTATGAAGAATAAAAGATTACAAAATCTTTATCTCACAATCTCTCTAGAATAAAGAACAACTTATCTATCCTCACTGAACTCTTTTCTGATGTTTAGAAACCCTAAACAATCCTTATTTATATGTTAAACAACGCGGATGACAAAATCGTAAATACCTAAGCCAAACACAACTTGGATTCTGTAAAACCCCGAAAATTTGAATATTATGTGAAAAATAATAATAAATATGTTATATGGTGAAAATATAACATATTTTAATGTTTGAGTATGATAGGAATTGATTTGAGATCAATTCAATGTATATTTGTGAATATATGAGTGCAAATGCACAAAACATGCACGAAGAGAAATCTGGAAAAATGACCAGTTAAGAGTTTATTGCAAATGCACAAAACATGCACGAAGAGAAATCTGGAAAAATGACCAGTTAAGAGTTTATATATTTTACATACCGATGCAGTTTGAATATGGAAAAACTCAAAAGGCCAAAGTTGTAGGTCTCTTCAATAGCTTTCCAACAATCTTAAATTACCTCATTTCGAGGTTGGATGAGAAAGTTACAGCCAAAATACCTGTAGGCTGTCAAAAAATCACAATAGGTAGCTGATCCCACATCAAACACCGATGATGGAAGTTACAATCTGACGACTTCCAGAAGGTCATAATTTGAAGACTTTCACGTAGATCGGTGAATGTTACAATCTGACGACCTTCACAACAATCGATGAAATCTCTAATCAACAGCCTTCACAATCAACATCGGGAGTTATAATCTGACGACTCTTATATTTTTAAGGAGCCAAGATGAAGATTACAAGATGGTGGTCTTTACAACGCTCTAGCAAAAGAGACTACAAATCAACGGTCTCTTCAAATCCAGACGCGGAGCTCACCTATGCGTCCCAGATTCAAAACGCATAGCTCGTGGCCGCGTTCCAAACTCCCAGAACAAAACGCGGAGGTCCTCCCCGTGTGTCAACACCAAAACGCGGAGGTCCTCCCCGTGTGTCAATATTAAAACGCTGGAGTCGGACCTGCGTTACAACATCAAAACGCCGGAGTCGAGCCTGCGTTGCCACATCAAAACGCTGGGGTTAGACCCGCGTTTTTTGTGTTTGACTAGTTCAAACAGAACCTGAACGGTTTTAAAACCGTATCTCCACTTAATGGGGTCGGTTACACCCCATTATGGAGAGATTTTAGGGGGGATTGCACCTCTTAAACTCTTGAACAGTACCAAAACTGTTTCCCACGATTGGGGGCGGTTACACCCCACTTAGGAGTGATTTAAGGGACGATTACACCCCTTTAATCCCCTATAAATAAGAAGAAACTCAACTGAGTTAAGGGTTGGAATTTCTTGGCTCAGATTGATCCTCTTTTCGGCAGTGAAGAGGAGATCTTTGGCTTGGCAGCAAGGGGGAGATCGACGTTCATCCTCAGCAACGATCGACCACCGGAGCTTTCTTCTGGCCTTGGCTTATTAACCGATTTTCGGTTCAAATCAACTCTTTCACAGAGTTCTTCTAAACTCGTTCAGAGTTCTAAAACTTGCTTTGCAAGTTCTCCACAGCATCAAACCGTGAGGAGAAGACATCGTTCCAGTGAAGCAAAACGTCGGATCGTCAACGGAGAGCAAACTTGACGCGAGCATTCGAGGGAGGCACTTCATCGCCACCGTGAAGAACCCAATTTTAAACAAAGGGGAGAATCCAGATCATTCTCTTCTCTTTTGTAACCAGGAAATTCAATTGTAATTGAGATTAAAGGAATACATGTCAATTTTTCTTTCATTTCTTTTACTGTAAATTTTTTCAACAAACAATACCGAAGGTTATTTTCCTAGTCGGACTAGGTTTCCTGGTTCGGGTCAAACGGGTTTATTTCGGGTTTGCATATATATATATATATATATATATATATATATATATATATATATATATATAGAAAATGGAGAAACTGTGTACCAAGTTGCTTAAGTAACTTCGTAGTGATGTGGCCTAAATCTTGCCCCTACATCACACCTCGAAGATAGAGCCTCAACCACTCTTCACAACTCCAATGTAGATGTAGGATAAGATTATGTCACATAACTACCAAGTTGCTTGAGCAACTTGGTACAAAGTTCTCATTTTCTCATTATATAATATATATATATAAATATATATATATATATATATATATATATAGTATAAATATATATATATGTGTGTGTGTGTGTGTGTGTGTGTGTGTGTGTGTCTTCACGAAAATTATCATATTTTCATCAGAGTTTCAAACTCTAGCAGCCCCTCTTCCTCTCTCTCAAACCCTAGCTCTAAAGTTGAGATTTTGGGAGCATCTTGTGAGGCGAGAAACGAGGAAAAGGCGAGATATACGACGTTTGATGACGAGGAGTTGTTTCACATCAGTTTTAGATGCTTGCATACGTGATAAGGCAAGATCGTCTGCATCCAAACCCATCCCCATAGTGTTTAATGATTATAAAAATGTTTAATCAATATTTTCATACTTAAGGCTTAACCTAATATGAAAAAGATGAGATTTTTGATGATAAATTTTAACACAATGCTAGATCATTAGTTTTTCCTAATTGTTTATGATAGTAACATAATCATGATCATTAGGGGTGATTAAATTTTTTATTTTTTTAAAACTTGATAATTATGTTTAACTCATGTGTTAGCCCTAATTTGTTGTCTAATTAAATTATAAAGAGTTTTAGTTTTTGTTTTCATCATAGATTGCAGAAAACTGCTGTACTTGTGTAACCTTTAACCGGAAATTTGAGATATCATATAAACTCCACACTGAACAAAACTAGTGTCAAATGAAAGCTATGTGAACCTTTTTTCTAAAACAGAAAACCATTCTAAGAAAGAGTTTTTATAGAGAATATATAAAATTTTGTACTTAATTACAAAACGAAAAATTTTGTAAACAGTCCCTTTTGGACTTTTAATCCCAAAAAAGCCATATTTTGCACTAAATTACAAAAAAAAACGACCTAGTTTCAGCCTCAGCGCTGAAACCAGGTCGGTTTTTGAAAAAAAAACTTCCGAAACTTCACGGGACTTCAAGTCCCGTGAAGTTTAACATCCAAAATTTTAAGCTGCTAAACTTCACGGGACTTGAAGTCCCGCGAAGCTTTTTAAACGTGCAAACAAATTCTGAAAAACTTCACGGGACTTGAAGTCCAGTGAAGTTTGAGGTTGATTTTTCCAGAGAATCGACTCTCTGGAAAAACTACCCTGTAGTTTTTCCAGAGAGTCGATTCTCTGGAAAAATCAACCTCAAACTTCACGCGACATCAAGTCCCGTGAAGTTTTTCAGAATTTGTTTGCATGTTTAAAAAGCTTCACGGGACTTCAAGTCCTGTGAAGTTTAGCAGCTTAAAAATTTGGCTTCTAAACTTCACAGGACTAGAAGTCCCGTGTAGTTTCGAAAGTTTTTTTTTTTCAAAAACCTGGTTTCAGCGCTGAGGCTGAAA